AGTTCTTCCCAATGGTTTCTTTATTTGTACATTATTGTTAATCTACTTAATGCTATTTGAGATTGTAATGTTTCATTTCATAATAGTTTTCTCATTTTTTCTGTTGTTCTCACTAAGTTTCTATGTTTTTTCCTGAACTGTATCTGTGTTGTTTTAATTGATATTTAATCTTGGCGGAAGCCATATTGATTGTTCTCTTTTTGATTGTGTTGCTTGATTGACTGGGATCATTCATTTTGGTTGTGAATTAGAGTACTTTCCCAGAATTGGAAACACTTTTTGCTATAAAGCAACCTCTTGAACGTAGTTTTACTTGATCTATCCAGAAAGGACAGAATAACACTAATTTTTTCGAGCGTCCGATCGATTATTGTGGGAACAATTATTGCTTGAATAACAGTGGTAATATTTGTTTTGAACGGTTGTTGCCCCAATCACCTTGTTCGGACTTCGATTGGGGAGCGCGTTACTACTCTTTTATCCGACAGCTATTCTTCACCCAATCCTAATTTGGACCTTATAGGTTATGATTTTATACTGTAAGCGTTTAATTTTGGATGCTGAGGTAGGCCAAAGACGGATTCGACCATGTGATATAGTTGGGAATCATTCGACCATCAAACAGCCCATGGGCATCTCCCTTCCATATGGTCCCTAAAAAGGACAGCAACGATTGGCGTCGAACTGGTGACTCAACGTTTGGATGCTAACATCATTCCCGATCGCTACCCGTTGCCTTACATTTGACAGCTATCTTGAAAGGTACAACTTTCTTCTCTAAAATCGACTTAGTTAAAGCCTATAACGAAATCCCTATGGCTACTGACGATATTCCAAAAACCACTATCATCACTCCCTTCGGACTCTACGAACTTTTGAGAATGCCTTTCGCCCTAAGAAATGCTGCCTAAAATTTCGAAAGGTTCATAAATGACGACTTTCAAGGTCTCAACATGAGTATGTTGGTGACTGCCTTATAGCAATTCCGGACAGAGAATCACATCTCCAGCATCTGGACATTGTTTTCGAACTACTGCAAAAGCGTGACATTACTGCAAATATTCGGAAATGCCAATGACTTCTTAGATTTCCTAGGACACATTATTGCTGCTAAAGGCATTCGACCCCTTAGAAGTAAAGTGACGGCCATTCTGGAACCGACCACCATTAGGCAGTTGTGCACTTTTAACGGCCTTGTACGTTTCTATAGACGGTTCATACAGAAATGCGCCTCCCTTATGAAGCCGTTAACCGACCAACTTCATGGAAATGCGAAATCAATTAATCTAGACGACACTACGCGAAAAGAATTCTCCACAGTTGAGGAACATATCGCAAAGGCAACACTTCTCGCACATCAGGACACTAAAGCGCCCATTACTATCGCCATAAACGCATCCGACTCAGCAATTGGAGGAGTCTTACGACAATGGCTTAACCATTCTTGGCAACATTTACGATTTTTCTCGAGACGGTTGCTAGACGCCGAATCGAGGTACAGGAATTTCGGTAGGGAACTCCTAGCTATGTATTGTGCTGTATGACATTTCCAACATTCCATAGAAGGAAGAGAATTCACGCTCTTTACCGATCACAAACCTCTCAATTTCTCAAAAGTACTCGCAATGCAGTGAAATCTGACATTGGATACACTGCATCTCAACTCTTTTATGGAGCGATACTCTGACTTCTAGGAGAATTCGTGGATCCTTCATCTTCTTCAATGTACATGGATCTAAATTCCTACACGAGCAGGCTTACAAAAGCATTGCGTTCAGTTAAATCTGTTTCCACTCGACCGTAGTCAACTGGTGCTTTCGTTCAATCCGACTTACAATATAGTACACATGTCTCCGTACGTCGTCACTCACATCGACCACGCCTCGAACCAGCATACGAAGGACCCTTCAAAGTTTTTCAACGTAAGACACCAGTTAACCTTTTGCCTTATATCGATTTTCCTTTGTACTATATATAATAAAAAAATTAATATGCTTATACAATCCTTAAACAATCCTTTCTTGATATGTGTGTATTTAATTTTTTCTTTACAAAAACCTCCAAAAATTGTTCTTTAAAAATCGCTTTTACACTGTTACAGGTGTGTTAGTTTATTTACTTTTTTTGCTCATTTTGTGTCCTTACGCGCGTACGAGTTTATTTCGATATACACTTACATATTCCTTTTTCCTTTTTCCAGAACGGCTTGAAAAGACGATAAAAAGAACGATGACGTTTATGAGGAACCGAAATTTTGATTGTACTTTGTTTCCGTTTTACTATATTGTACATCATGGCCCCTTATAATAACGAAAGACGACCAGACGCTGCTAAACATAGCAAGCTACCAGAAGAATGTTTATCAACGACAAACTCATTCAGATAAAACTTTTGGCTAATCACGTCGTAGGGTCCTCAATACCTTATTAAAGGGATTGATCTGTAGTGGTAAGTAAATTCCCAAAATCAATAGCACTGTAGGTGTTCGAAATTGGATTCTGACCGTAATAAGTTTAATGAAACTCATCTAGCTGAAGGTGCTTGGTCATTCATTCTTACCAGATCCCGAATGGAATCGGCGGGTTCAACCTCTCCTGCGATCACTAGCCAGTTTAGATCAGTCACTCGCCGATCTCTTGATAATCTATCAAATATATAATAATAATATATTTCTGCAATAGCAGGTACACGCCATCTTTACAGGCATGATCTACAATTTACAACATATACTGGTTCACAGTATGCATTCCAAGCAAGCTTGTTTAGTAATTATAATCTATAAAAGTTGATAGCAGTTCATTCGTTCACATATAATGTGTTTTCATAAGAATAGTTTCCAAAGGGGCATGGCGTCCACGTTACATACCAGATCCAATTTCGAAAAAAAGTGTATTAGGGTTTCGGTCGTGCTAAATATTTATGTAATGCAGCTTTTTAAGTTTATAGTTGTTATAAAGTAGGCTTGTGGAGCGCCTGATTCGAACTATGACCTTGGGAAAGCGCGTTCTTCGAGCTTGTTCCAGATGTCAGAAGTTACATAGCTTCACTTTCAGAGTAAGATTCTCAAGAGAAAAAAAAGAAAAAGAAACCGAGTAGCAGCAAGGCATTTGGATATGAACGATAACCAATGCTTAACATTTAATAGTGGAACAGATGGCGGTATGATAAATCATTAGATTAAATTGATACTAGCTCATGTTGCAAGAGTGAACTGCGATTAGGGGCTCCAGAGGAGAGAATGCAGCAATAAAGAACAATGAGTTGTGATATTTATCAAGGTGTAGTAGGTTCTAATGAAGGAGGGAAGTCAGGGTTGAAATGAGGAAGAACAGAGAGTGCATATATAGAGTAGATTGTTGAGTAAAATAGCAACCATATCCTTTACAGTCAGTTTGTTTTCATCATCCGATGCCTGCCACACAGTTTTCATGTAAAAGTCCGAGTTAGCATGTTAAAGGTTGTCTTAGTAGAATAGTTAATCCAGCCGAAAAATTAGAAACATGAGTCTGAATGGTGAGTGTAGGACAGCAATCTCAATATCACATATCTATTGACCTGTTCTCATCCATAAAGAGCCTGATGCAAACAAAATGTTCTGCCCCACAAACACGGGTGGATTGAAATAATCGTCTTCACCGTCAGTGCTTGCTGGTCAGTAACTCCACCCTCCCTCCTTTTGTGATGTTAGGCTCATTTACGCTTATTTTTTGGATACATATCATACCTCACACAATGCTCTATGTTTCACATCCTGTTGGAAAACACTATTTCTATAAGTACCATGTTACAAGCCTATCAGACAGTTACAAATTATGGACTGTGGGTAAGGCTTCGATGCAATGTTTTTATTGACTATATAGTAAAGTGTATGTTACGAATCAGAGTATAGGCATTAGGAAGGGTATAGTGTAGGATATTTGTTTACCATAGTAGGTGGAAAAGTGGAGATTTATATTGGTTACAGATAAGGTAAGATAACGAGTGGTGAAATAATATTAATGGCAAGGCAACATAGTGTACAGATGAGTAAAAAGCTGATAAATAGACGAGAAGTAACTCACACTAAATTCGCGCTGAGGTTGTTTTGTTCTATGCTAACCGGTTGATGGGTGACAGGTTCTGTGGTTGTACGACCACTGGCATTAGGCAGTCGATTGTGCGTTTCTTCTGAAGTTTTAGGGTATTTATAAGCGTCGTTTAGCGACCGAGTATTGATAGGTCCAGTGAGTTGTCTGTCTACTTCGATTGAAAAGAATTAGTGAGGGGAAAGTATCTAATACAACTACAAGGTAGGGAAATAAGATGATTCAGTCTATATATGTAGAGAGCCTATAATGTCTGTGTTGGACGTGGATGTGTTCGTCTGCACCAGATCTATGCAGGTGAGGGCTTGATCAATGAGTCTTGTAAACGTATGTTATTTGTTTGCCATGCGTATTTCAGAAGGCAGACTGTTCCATATCAATGCGTACTTGATAAGGAAGAAGTTTTCACGTGTTTTTGATCTGTGTTTTTCAATTTTGATAGTGGATACTTTGTCTCGAAGGTTGTATCCATGTGAGTCTTGGTAGAGAGCTATATTACATGTGGAATAAGTAAGGTTTTTAAGGAGTTTGAAATAAAGAATTAAGTTAGACCTAAGCCTTCTTTTCCAGAGGGGTTCTAGTCCTAAGATATGGCATCTGGATTTGTAGTCAGTGAGTTGGTCATTCTTAAGTATTTTGTGAGTGAAGTCTCGCTGTATTCCTTCCACTTTAAGTATATCAGATAGGCGTAGGTTGGAAAATAAGAACGAGCAGTATTCGACGATGGGTCTTACGCAGGTTTTATACAGGATGATTTTAGTTTCGTTTTGAAAGAAATTACGAAGGATGAAGCCAAGCAATCCCCGCATTTGAGATGCTTTAGTTGAGATATGTTCAGAGAAGTTAAGACTGTCAGAGTAATGTACCTCAAGGTCATTTAAAGATTATGTATAGAATAATTATTACTTCAAATGTGCAGATAATAGCATCAGAAATAAGTTTTAAATCTGTTTTATACTGGTTGATATTGTATGGAACTGATTTTTGATCAGTTCCGACTACTGATAAAAACCATGAACATTTTTTAAAGAATTTGTATTTACATTATGGGTATGTTTTGAAGACACAATCCACGATAAATTGATAATCTACAAACAAATATGTGATTAATATTGTCAATAAATCGAGTTATAATAATTCTTAATACACCCTCTTTTCATAATGTAAGAGCTAATAAGTATAATATGAAACTGATTAGCTGGAACTATATTCCATGACATTTTCACTCTGTACATTATTATTATCCTTCTCGTGATACCGTTTGAGTGAACGTTCGTAATAATTCCACAAATTGTCCACATTTTCGCAATGTTTGATTAGATGAGACTTTACATGATTCAGACTAGCCTGTAAGCGAACTAAACTTGCTTGACAAGTTGCCCATTCACCCTGTAAAGTTAAAAAACCTGGATTACGAAGTTCCTTTTTGTTGTCTATTGATTCGTTATTCGGAAGATTTCTTGACTCCTTAGAATTCGTACATTCAGATAAAGCTGAATTAGCAGCTATTCTTCGCAGGTTTAACGCATGAGAACGGAGTATAGAATGTGTCCAGCGAACATAAAACTCAACATGACGTGATCGACCACTCAACTGACGAGCAAGAAAAGCGATGAGATAATGTGCAACTTGATTGATAGGGAGTTGACGGGCCAAAAAGTCAATTTGGTCAACGGGAATTGACTCAATGACTTCCTCAACAAGTTCATGCAATTGCAACCGAATAGCCATGTTCAACGCCTCTGCATGTCTACCTTGTACGACTGCATTACGAGCGTTTGATGGAGTAGTTTGTTCATCAATACCTAATGTATCAAACAACCAACCACTATCACTACTGCTAGAAGCACCAAAAATACTACCTATACCATATCCTGTTCCAGCAGATGGTAAGGAATATACAAGAATACCTTCTGTTGTGACAGTTGCAAATGAATCACCTGTAGGTGAAAATTCAACTGCAGAAACTCTCACTTCAGGTCTCCATTGGCGACGACTACGATCTTCACCCTTAATGCTCGATGGAATTCGCAAACTAGGACGTTTTGCTTCTTTGGCGTTCATTGCTTCCATACTGAAACGATGTAAATAGTTACGCCGATCGTGTACCTCTCGAACTCCAACAAGTGAAAGATTACATGTGACTTCAAATCGTTTAATTAATAATTTATCAGGAACAGAATAGAGACATATATATTTTGAATCTCCACCTGCTATTAAATGTTCACCGTCGACAGAATAAGCTATAGTTTGGAATTTCTTAGCTTCAGCAGCTCTACGTGGGGTAACTAAGTCGTCCTCACTTGTCTGTGCTACCCCAAGGTCCCGATGACCATCTATGGTTCCCATTTCAACCCCTTCGTTAGGGTCATAGAAAACTATGTTTCCGTTCAAAAGGGAAATAGCCAGCTGTTTACCATCACCTCGATATACGACACATAAGGCATCACATGAAAAATTTACAATCTCTTTCGTAAGACCCATACTAGACAAATTATTTTCATCAGTTAAATTGCCTGTAACATCCCATAATCGAAGCGTACAATCCCAACTGACAGTAGTAAAATCGATATCAATACCAGAAATGGCAGGGTTAAATGCTAGTGCACTAATAGGAGAAGTATGCCTCGTCAAAGTAGCCAACAGCTGACCTGTCTTAACTGACCATACATAAGCTTCGAAAGTATCCAAACCTCCAGCAGCAACAAGAGAGCCATGCGTATCAACAGCCAATGACGAGAACTGGATGCGACGAGTAGGCACAGTGAACATACGGAAATTCCTGTAGCGAATTAAATCATGAGCACGAACGGTCCCATCCAAACTGGTTGACAAAACGACTTTGGAATTTTGAGCTGGAAATGCAACTGCAGTTACACCAGCTGTATGCTCAGTAAAGGTTACAACACACCTGCCACCAGATATACGCCACACTTTTACTTTGTTATCATAACCCCCAGTCACCAAATGTAGACCATCAGGAGAGTACGCCAAACTAGTCATTTCCTTAGAATGGGAATCAGGATTGCGATCTCCATTCCCAAACAGCAATTTGTCCGAATAGCTCTGAACTTGCACCAATCCAGTCACCATTGCGGTTAATCGTTAGACTGCTTATACTGTTAGTGAACAAATTTACTTCACTGATTAATATGAAGTCGGGAAATGTATGTAGTAAAAGTAATCCTGATTCAAACCCAGTTGCAAGCAACTTTAAATCTTTATGAAATGCCACTGCACTAACGGGATCGGTGATTTTCACATCGTTAGAGCTTGTATAACGGTATTTGTTGCTGATCCTAAATAAAGAGGTGGGTTTTGAGTCATCAATACTCTTCAGCTGATCAAGAGAAACGTTTGCCTCCCAGAAACATATTAGGCCATCAGAGCTGACTGTCAATATATTCACCAAGTTATGAAGTATGAATGTCCCCATGATGGGGTTTTTGTGTCCGGCTAATGTGTAGACGAATATTTTGGGTATATTGTAGACCGAAAATAGCCGGCTAGTGGAATCGACTGATCCAGCAATGAAAAACCTAGAATCACATGACCAATCAATACAAGTAACGTTATCCGTAAAGCCATAAAACATACGGTAGAGTTCCAAATGATTAAACTGGTGGTTTGGAGAGGGCGAGAAGAAAAGCATCACATTATTACCTTTGGCAACAGCCAAGAACTTTCCATCTGGGCTGAAAGAAACGGCCAAAACCACTCCCTTGAAAGGATACACAGATACCACAGCTCCTGTGGAGAGTGAGCATAAAGACGCATCACCAACCTCATTAATGGCGACTAGCAGAGATATTGAAGGAGACAACGCCAAGTGATGCACATCGTTAGAGGAGGAAATATCAATAGACGCTGCTTCATCTTTCTTGAGATCAAAAACTGTTATCGGATTGCCAACTGGGCTCAAAAGACCCAAACCATTGTTCGTGAAAACAACGGATCCACATTTGTAGGCTGTCCCAAAAAGATTTTTGAACTTAAAGTTCAGCCTCATTACACGTGCAGTTGATGTAACGCACCATTTGAAATGATGTCAGTCTGGGCAGTGGGTTTTTGTTAAGTGCTAGTTTTAGTTTAAGTGACGTGTTTCCAATACATAGCCAACCGCATTTCTCTGTATTGAGCTCTAGCCCCCAGCATTTGCACCAGTCGTCTACTTTGTTGAGTTCATGTTGGATCGTTTGCATAGTACTACGTACATCACCAATGTCAGTTTTATAGAGGACTTTTAAGTCATCAGCCTAGAGGTAGGTCTTACCTGTAGTAAAGCACTTGCATATATTGTTGATATAAATTATAAAGAGCAATGGACACAAGACACTACCCTGCACAACACCACTGGTTATTGGTCGAGGTGTAGATGTTGTAGAGTTAAGCTTGGTTATTTGGTATCTGTTTGTGAGGAAAGACTTAATCCCTTGCAATAGAGTCTGTTGATTAGAAGATTATGGGGTACTTTATCAAAGGCTTTCTTTATATCGAAATAAAGTGTAATCACTAACTTTTTCTGGTCACGTATGCGAGTAACCTCGTTAAAGAAGTTTATCAGACATGTACTACGTGATCTTGTTCTAATGCTGTGTTGGGTCTATTAGTTCTTCCTTAAGTAGGTGATCTGATAGTTGACTTTATATCACTTTTTCCATTATGCGCGAAATAACTGGGGTGATATTTATAGGTCTGTAGTTTCCGACCAGGTTTCTCGGTCCTGATTTATGTTTGGGAAGAACATACGTCACCTTCTAGGCTTCAGGATGTGTACCCGCCTCTAATGATAGTGTGTATATTTTGAGCAATAACGTATGTATATCCGGCCCCGACATTTTATGGAGAATTGATGGTATATCATCGACACCAGAGCTCGCATTCGGCTTAAGGGTTTTGATGGCGGTATGTATACTACTAATGTCAAAGTTTATGGTGCTAATATAGCTTTTGCTTATGCATTTTATGTTAACATCTGGGGCATTAGATGTGTTCCCGTCTTGTGAAAACCACTCACTTAGCAGTTCGCATATGACGGTTTGGTCATAGTACGTCACACCATCGTGCAGTAAAGAGTGAATGTTGTGATCTTCGTTCTTTCTCATCCGTTTTGCAAGGAGCCGACATAAGTTTTGTACTTTAGATGCATCTGTGAGCGCAGTACGTTCTTCTGTCTGTTTGTTTTTGTTGTGATGACTTTGCACTCCTTCAAGTACAGAGTATACCTAGTGCAGGGCACTAAAGTCTTTTGATGTAAATTACGTCTTTCTTAGTTTTCGTAGCTTAGACTTAGCCTTTTGGTTGATGTAGGGAGCAATTGTTTTGAAAGCAATTTTAGAAGGGATAATAGTGTCTAGGGCAGATTTGGTGGTAGTATTGAATATTTCCAGTGTTTCTAAAAGGTTATCACTGGTGAAGAAAAAGTTTCAGTCAGAATGCTTCATAAGAAACCGAAAGTTACTCCAGTCGGCGTTTTCATAGTCTCTATATTGGAATTACGTATTTAATGTCCTTAATGTTTTGCTCTTGGCAAGAATCGGAAGGGTGCAGAAGACTATTTTATAATCGCTGTTATGGAAATTCTCGCCAACCACCATTGATGTTGGTGTGACATTATGACAGAATAGCAAGTCAAGAATGTTGTGATTTCGGGTAGGCAGGTTAACATGTTGCTGCCAACCGTGTATGTCTAAGGACCTTAGTATTCCTTCGTATTCCTCCCTCTTTTCCAGGACGACTGGAAAAGAACGACGAAGTTTCGCAAGGAACCGAAATTTTCATTGTACTACATTTCTTTATTGCTATGTTGTACATCTTGGACCCATAGTTTAAGGAAAGACGACCAGACGCTGCTAAACGAAGCAAGCTATCAGAAGAGTGTTTACCAAGGACAAACTCGTTGGGTTTAAACTTCTGCCTGGTCACGTCACGTTCTTCCAACTTCCTCACTTCTTACTTTTGATTTCACTTGGTGTGCGCGATTCAATTATAGAAGGTGTTACAAGTAAAGTGTTGTCAAACTATTATACCTGTGGTATCTTCATTACTGAGCCCGATGTGATCTGGTACACCAAATCCAGATATTTGACTAGTCTTTCCAGTTTCGTACGGTGTCGGGACATCCCATGTACCCATATTGAATGCTGCTGTGGTTTTCAGAAAAAGCATTGACCTCGTGATCTCGGAAGAATCTCGGTTTTCCGTATAATATGTCACAGTTTTTTTAAATGTAGATCCTTCAGCTCCCAAGGCGAATTTTAAGTGCTCTAAATAATTTTTCTGGTTTTCTTCAGTGTTCGTACTTTCTTGGTATCGAGCGTCTATCAATGTCTGTTAGGGTTTCGGACATTGACTTGTCTGTAATTATCTCGGGCGTAAGTCTCACTCGAATATCTACCGTGTTTAGCGCTCTTTTTTGTCTGTGTATTTGATTGATGTATCTAATCTACGTTCTAAAAGCCTCCCGCACTTGTAAAAAATATTTCCCATTCTCGTTTCAACGACTCCCAGTTCACAACAGTTTCTCACGGCGTATGACCTGATAACCACATTATCACTGACGTTCAAACTCTGTTTATTCTGATTTTGTCTGCGTTCATCCATTAGTTTGGATGGCATCATGGGGTCTAATATAGTTTAGATGCTTCTTCCGAACATCGCTCTAGCAGGGGACTTCCCATTTCTGACGACAAGCTGTTAAGAATAGCGCGATTACCTGACTTCTCCCCTTCTCCTTCCTCTTTCGGTAGTGCTCTTTTGAATGTGTCCTGCCTGTCCATTTTATTGAGGGTGTTGTGTGGAGAGCGTATATGTAGAATTCCATTAATGTTGCAGAAATGCATGAATGATTCTGCAGTGAATCGTAAGTAGTTATCGGTCACCAAGTTCTCCGGAACTCCAAAGCAGCTAAACAGTTCAGATAACTTATTGATTGTTTCACTGGCTATGCGATTAGTCATGGTATAGATTTGTGGCCATTTTGTGATGAAGGTTAAGGATAAAAGCTCCATAATGACTAACTAGTCCTGAAAAAGATAGTAGTGTGGGGACATCCGTCGGTCTAGGCATGGTTTTCACTGCCTGAATATTCTCTGGATCTGGTCTTCTGCCATCTTTTACATATAAAAGTTACGTTTCTCTGCACGGAGTGGAAGTCCATATTCGGCTATTTGCAATGGCACCTGATCGAGCTTCTTTTCTACGTCAATTCTACTTACTCCCATGATTATTATATCATCCAGTTAAGCTGGAGCACCTGGAACATCCTGTAGCATAGTATCCATCACTTGATGAAATATGAATGGGGCCGTCTTGACTCCTAAAGGTAATCGATTATACTGGAATAGGCTCTTGTGTGTGTTTATGGTGAGCAGATTTTAACACTCATAAGCAACAGGAAATCGTCAATAAACTTCTGATAAAACCAACTTCACAAAGAGTTTACCACCATTCAGCTTAGCAAAAAGATATTCAGGTAAGGGTAGTGGATACTGGTGAGTTTCTGGGGCTTCATTTGGTCAGTTGGGTAATCGGCACATAAGCAGACGCTGCCATTAGTCTTCTTTACTACCACTAAAGGTGCAACATATTCTGAGAAATTTACTGGTTCAATGACACTCAATTTATGAAGTCATTCTAGCTGTTTTTCATCCACTGAGAGGGCAGCATAGGGTACAGGTCTCTTGGGTCGAATCAGAAGCTTTGATCCCCGTCGTAGGGTAAGAACAGCTTTAAATTTAGTGCATTCTCCAAGGTTATCAGTGAATAACATTTTATGTCGTTTTAATAATGCTTCCACTGAGGATTTATCCTCAGCTTCCGACACACTGACGTCGTTACAGGTCGAGTTTATGGGACGGTTTGTTCATTTTAACCTTTCTATCCAATCAAGCTTCAGTAAGTCGAGTGATGGACGTTCTGTCAGAAATATTACTCCCTTCTCAGTAAACTCTTTGACTATGACTCCATAATGAATCTCACCAGCAATGTTTAGAATTACCCCGGATGCACCACGTGCTGATTGATGAGTTGAATATATTCTCGGTCTCACAATTTTCTCCTGCGTTCTCCGGCTTATAAGTGTTATGTCGGAGGCTGTGTATAACTACAAGTGGACATCATACCCTTTGATCTTGAGGGAAACATACTTTCTAAGGTTGTCGAGGCCGGTTTTGTAAAAAGCTACTGTTACTTTGGCTGTTCGAGGTTTGAATCTTTTAGAATATACTTTAGGTTGACGGCGTTTATGGGTTTTGCAATGACTTTTTTGTGTCCTCTTCTAGAACACGTAGTACAGTGATGATTTTAAAAACGGACAAAAACCTTTTGAAATACCAACCGCCTAATTACCAGCATGGGAATGATGGTTTGCTTCGTCATTACTATAATTCTGCTTGTTAGAACCTTGTAAGACTTTTCTCTCGACAGCATTGATGTGGAGGAACCGGTTAGTGTTCTCTACCATCGAGGTATCATGCTTCAAATTCACTAACCTTTGGCATTCGGTAGTTACTTCCTGCAGGGTCATGTTAGGATAATGTTCAGGCTTGTTTAGTATTCTTGTTCGGGTGTCATCATCCTCAGGTGAACGCAGG